CTGCACACTTCGGAGACACTTCGTCAGTGCCTCCAAGGCTGATCTCCCGGCACGTGGAACATATCACTCCCACGGAACACACACCGTGCCAACGCCAAACAAACACGGATGCCTGGTGTCACGGGACCCTGGGCCTCCTGGGAGAGCATCCACTTATAGACCAAGAACCAAAACATCCCATTGTGAGCCCTTAGCAACGTGGAAAATACAACTCACAGAGAAGGCCACTGGGCCAGGGGTAGTTGGACCAGGGGTCGGGTCCTGGTCACACCATCACCTGATCTTTGACACCATCCACGCCCCATCTGGGAGCGTGGGTCTCCTCCCCTGTAAGGCTGAGAGGGCACCTTGGTAAGTCAGATGGCACAAGTGTAAGGTATCTGGTCTCGTCCTTATAGATGCAGAGGCCCCTGCAGGGTGAGAGCATGATAAGGGCTTTGCTTTGAACACTCCCGTGCTGAGCCCCCCTCTTCCAGACTCACGGTGCATGTGGCAGTAAGAGAGGCTGATGGAAGCCCCAAGGACTCACCTTACAGCCTCAGGGACTCTGAGAGGGGCGCCTGCCCTGGGGGGTTGGGAGACCTGGCGCTGCCACCTGAGATGTGCTACTAGGGAATTAGAGACTATTTAGGGACACCTGCTAACTCTCTCTCCCCTGTGACATAACCACGCCATTCAAGCACTTACACAGAGAGTATTACAAGGAACCTTAACTGCCCTGAGAAACAGGGGAGACAAGTAGTCTTTCTCCAGATGAGAAAACAGAAGAATCACGTCTCCTTTCGAAGGCCAGTAGGGGGCATAATCCTGAAAGCAGTCCTGGGTTTTGAGGTCCCTTAGAGGCGAGCAGGGTTCCGTGGAAGGCCTACTGGGGACTTCTGGCCCTCTCTTCTCTACTCTTCCCTTGCCCTCTCATCACTTAGGGCCTTCCCAGCCGTCTCCAGCCTCCACAAAAACCTCCCTGCAACCCCAACTCAAACTCTGTCCCAGCACCCACACAACATCTTCCTGCAGCACAAACGGTGATAGGGTGTGACTCTCCTCGGGTCGGCCCTTCACAGTGGGCTGTCCGGACCTCTTCGTCCCCTGTCCCACACCCGGTTACACTTGCCAGTGTTACAGTGTACATCTTGGGCTTTCTCTTATGTAAACCCTAAAGCCACTGCACAGGACTAGACACACAGAGGCCATCCTGAGAGGAAAGCTTCCTTAAGGAGTAAGAGGCTGCCCTGCGGAGGATCTGTACAAACATTTCTCCAAAGCAGAGACCCGCCAATGAGGACAGGAAAGATGCTCAAGGTGACTAGTCCATAGGGAAATGCAAATCAAAACCACTTCACACCCACTGGGATGGATATAATCAAATGAGAGACGGTAACAAAGGTTGCAAAGCCTATAGGGATATTGGAATTCTGGTACATTGTTGGTAGAAATGTAAGATGATGCAGCCACTTTGGAAAACACTCTGGGTAGTTCCTAAAACAGCTAAACACAGGATTACTATAACAACCCAGCAGTTCTACTCCCAAGAGAATGGAAAATGTCCACACAAAACCTCATACATGAATGTTCATAGTAGCATTATTTACAAGAGTTAAAAAGAAAAAACAACTCAAATATTCATCAACTAATAAATAAAATGTGGCATATCCATACAATGCAACATTATTTATCCATTAAAAAGATAAGTGCTGATACATGCTACAACATGGATGAACCTCCTGCTAAGTGGAGGAAAAGAAACACACAGGTCACATATGGTTCCACTGCTATGAAATGGCCTGTACAATCCACACAGGGAACAAGCAGTTCAGTGGTTGCCAGAGTTGGGAGAAGGCTGAAAGAGTGACTAATAATGCATATGAGGTTCCTTTTTGGTGAAATGCAATGAAAATGTTCTACAAATAATGATGAAAATGTTCTGGAATTAGTGGGGATGGTTGCACAACCTTGTAAATTACTGACTTATATGCTTTAAAAAGATGAATTTTACTGTTAAGGTAGAATGTGAATCATCTCTCAATAAAGCTGTTAGGTGGGTGGGAAGAGTTCAACCAAAGAACTTTTGTGCATAGATGCATACTTTCAACAATAAAGGGTGTCTTTTTTTAAATGTTTGAATAAAAAAAAAAAAGCTGTCCTAGAGCTGTGGTTCTCAGACCTGAACTGTCACCTGGAGAACGTGTTTGCACATGCGTTTCTGGGTGCCACCCCTGCTGCTTTTGGTTCAGCTGATCTGGGGTGGGACTCGGGAACCTACATCTCACCAAGTGCCCTGTGTGAAGGTGCTGCTGGTCCTGAGCCCTGTTTTGAGAAGTCCCGGCCTGGAGAGGGGCTTCTCCCTACCCCACGGTGGGTGGTGAGCACCGCCCAGTGAGGACTTGTTGCCCGGCTGCAACGAGTGTCCAGGATGTGTCCAGGCCTGGCCATCGCTGCCCAACATGGGACAACTCTGCAGTTCCTCGGGGGTGGGGGTGGGGGGTCCTGCAGCCTGTCCCTGGGCCTGTGTGGCAGCTTAACTTCTCCCTCTGCCTACCTGCCTCCTCCCGCCCACAGGTGCTGAACCTACGTGCACTCCTGGATACATATTCTGCTTTCCAGACTCTATGGCAGAGTCTGCATCGTGGAGAACCCCACCAGACACAACGCTTACAAACCACCTGGGGATCCTGTTCAAAGGGGACACATCTGAGGCTCAGCATTCCTGACAAGCTCCGAGGTGATGCGATGCTGCAGATCCATGGCCCACACTCTGGGGAGCAAGGGCCTCCATGACCTTGAAGTACTCTCCCGAGTCCAGGATGGGAAGAGTTCTATGAACCACTGGGGTCAAGTGGAAATAGAGATTGGTATCGCATTTTATAGGTCACAAAGAGGCACCTCTGATCCCTGCCCTTGAGATCCAGGCCAAGGAACACTGGGTTACAGGTGAGTGTTTGAACAAGGCCTTTCAGGTACTTCCAGTAGCTAATCCCCTTGGGCAGGGGCCAAGACCAACTTGAGGGTTACTCTCCTCTATGCTCCATTGTTACAGTGTGGCCTCGGGGCATTGCTCGGGCAGAGTGAGTAACCTGCATTGTGCAACCAGCAGACAGGTTGTGACTGATACCCACTCCACCGCCTCTTCAGGGAACCAAGACTGAGTGGGAAGGAAGATGAGAAAAGGTAGAGGCAGAGGTGGTGGCTGCTGTCTTTTCCAGTGCTTCTGCCCTCAGACTAACAGTGTGTTCTAAGAGCCTGTAGGCCAGTCTGTTTCTTGTTTCCAAGGTGGATCATTTGATTAAGAGTTTGGAATCTGCTTTTTGACCAGAAGCTATTTCTAACTTGCCCGGAGCCCCACAGCCTGCCTCTCAGTTTTTCTATCTGTTCAAGCTGATTTTAGGTAAATATTTTAGAAGCAAGGGCCTCCATGGGAATTTGGAACCAAATCAAAGATGTGATCACAGAAGGAAACAGAAAACCAAAGAGGTAAGCCTGCATCAAGAAGCCAGTTCTGGAAGGACAGGCATAGTGTGTTAGAATTTCATGGGAGTCATGACAAAACAGGGCTGGGGACAAAGGGAAAACCAGAGTCTTTCAACTAAAGGCCTTACCTAACTCCTAAAAATTCTGGGCAGTAACATCAGCATACCCTCAAGTCACCTGGCTGCACTGTCCCCAGGCACCTGCAGAGCACTTGGAAGGGCTGAGGCTGAGAGGGACACACACAGAAATGCTTTCTCTAATTAACTACGGCGATTATGAATAAGTTTCCGAAGTCCTTTGCAAACTTTAAACCCTATTAAGTTTTAAAGATGTACTGCTTCACCCCCGGCCACTGGAGTGAATGCAGCTTAGAGGTGCTCCCGGAGCCCACTGTGTGAGATGGGTGTTCTCCAGAGAAGAGAGTCAGCTCACCCTGTTGAAAAACCCAGACCTCATGTGAACAAGAAAAAGAGGTCAAGGCTACAAATAAATATTATTACCCGAAGTGCTGATTATTTACCGGGATACTTGAAACCCAGTGATTTCCCAAACTGCCGGAGCTTCTTAGAGAAATAAACACAGGAATCCCAATGTAGGGTTAAAAGGATTCCCAGGGACTTACACCAAAAATACAAGAAAATTATCCTCTGAGAAGGGATTTCTCTCCAGTTTCACTGCTTCCCACAAGGAGAACAATTTCATGAGAACATAATAGTACAGGAAACAATACACCACCAAAGAGGAAAATAACATCCTTCTAATTACAGATTAGTTCTCAAACAAATTCCACACCTACACACACGCTCTGCTTGGCGGCTGCATAACTTCCAGGAAGCTCACCCGGCCCTTCAGCTATCAACATTTACAGCTTAACAGCTCAATCAGGAGATTTTTGGTACAGAATCCCCAGACAGCAAAACACTCGCAAAGGACCCACTCGTTTCATTCTTGGGGAATGAGGAAAGCAGTTACAGAAAACACGGATGGGCTAATCCCACAGCAGGGGAGCTGAGCTCTGCTGTCTTTGAAACAACCAGATGCCAGAGTGCCAGTGTCAGAGATGACCTAATAGCTTCTAAGCATTTCAGATTTGCATCCGGCAGGAAGAGCAGCCAAAAGAAAGTCCTGCTTGACCCAAGCGGACACAGCCCTTTGTCAGGAACTCATCTAAGTTCACATCACTTGAGCAAGGCACCCACCTTTATTTCAACCCACGGGTTACTTATCCATTAAATGGGTTTCTTAACCATCACACTGGTTATTTAATTCCTACCCCATGGCTCCCCCAAGAAATAAAAAGTGCACTATAATTATATAAACTCTTAATTAAACTGAGGAATCCAGTGTTGCCATTACCCATCAGTGATTCCACTCAATTAGGACAATAGACTTCCATTTATTACTGAACTCCTAATTGCTACTCATTTTCCTGGTTAGTAATTGCCAATCCTATCAGACAATGTGCTTAATGAAAATTCTACCATGAAATTATATTTCTGCCCATCAGAGGGAAGGGGGGATGAGAGCGCCCTTACTTGGTGGGGAGTTGAGTCCTCTTCTCTATCCCCAGGTGGCTCCAGGCTGCGATTTTAAAGGCTGGTGCTCCCCGGGGTTGGCTGCTGGTGCTGCGATCCGCCGGGAGACTTACCCACCAAGGAAAAGGCGTATCCAGGTAGCCGAGAATCCCAAAGCCAAAGACTAGCTTAAGATGACGCAAAAACAAAACCACCCGACGAGGTCTCCGGATTTCCAGAAGTTCAGAGTCCCCAGGACAGGCGCATCAGAGGTCTGCAGGTAGGCGGCAAGGGCGGCGTTCGCGGCATCCCAGGCGGGGTGAACCCAGCCCCGGTCCAAGGTGGGCAATCGCTCGGCGCCCCACCGGGCTAGCCTGTCCCGGGTCCCTGCTGGCTGCCGAGTCGCGGCGCCTGGGGGCCTCCCGGAGGCACGGTGCTGGCCGCGGCTCCTGCGGGCACTCTAGCGGCTGAGCTTGGCCCCCGGGAAGCGCGCGACCTGCCCCCAGCTCGCCCCGGCCGGCGCCGGCGGAGCGCCCAGAGCCTCCGCGCTGCTCATGCTGACTCTCCTAATTAGCCAAGATGAGTGAGACCTGCGGTGGGCAACTTGACAATTTATTCTCGGCCCGGGGGAGGTCACCCGCAGTGCACGCGCCGATTGGCTGCAGCTCGAGCCTGCGCTGGCGCGGGGTGTGGCGCGGAGGCAGAGCCTGCTGGTTCTGATGGCTGGGTAGGGGCCAGGCAGGAACAAGCAGGGACAGGGCCGGTGTCGGGCAGCTCTGAAGCAACCTGGGGCCAGGGGCAGCGTGACAGGGTGCTTGTCCTGCCTGGAACCACAGAACCAGCCGCCCATCCATATCGGGTGGTTTGGAAGCAAGGCTCTCTGCTCTTTGGGTTTTTAGACGGCACAGTTGCTACCCGAATATTCCTGTTGACAATAAGCTGAGTCCTTTTAAGCCAGAAGATGTTCTGACTGAAGCACTTACTCCAACTTCACAGTATGGAGGAGAAAACAAGATGAAAGGATGCAGGGAAAGGCATATATATATATATATATATATATATATATATATAATCAGAAAGAAAAGGAGAGGAAGAGAGAGATAGAAACATAGAAACATCCATGATGAGAGAGAGTCATTGACTGGCTGCCTCCTGCACACCCCACACTGGGGATCAAGCCCACAACCAGGGCATATGGCCTGACTGGAAATCCAAATGTGACCTCCTGGTTCATAGGTCAATGCTCAGCCACTGAGCCACGCTGGCTGGGCAGAAAGGCTAGTGTTTCTGAAGTGCACCAAGGCTACCCTGTGGTTCTCTTCCTTGCAGACAGCCTGACCTCAGGGACAGTCCCAGGAAGCACAGCAGCACAGCCAACATGTGCAGTTAGGTCCACCCACAACCGGAGAGGTTGATAAATCAGAGAGTACTCTCTCCATCTTACACATAACGAGATGGGGCTTGGGATGGTTCGGAAACCTCCTTGCCCCGAGCTGGGCGTGCCAACCCTAACTCCTAATTCCTGGGTTTTAGCCACAACACCCCAGCGCTCCTGAACCGAGGAGGTATGCTGAAGAGGAGCAATGCCTGGAGGGCCAGCCAGGAACAAATGGCCAAGCATGATACTCCTCCAAATAGCACCAGGCCCCTGGCAGGGCCTGCTTCGGTGCCAGCTTTGCCCATCTGCCCAGGCGGCAGCTAGCAATCATTCTTACTGTCCACTCCGTTTTGGTGGTTAGGACATATTTATCCCTAACCAAAGTCAACGCACTCACCCACCCCTACCACTCACTCCGCTCATGTAACTTCCATCTATAGAAATGGAAGGAAGCTTGCAGGGTACAGAGAGGCAGGCAGCTGCAGAGAGCTCTCCTTAGGCCCAGGACCGGAGCACTGCTAAGCTTCTCCCTGTGGTCCTGGAATGCACAGAGGGAAGAAGGGCTCCCAGCCTGGTTGCCTTGTGTTTCGGATTTAAATGTGCAGAGCTCAGCATCGGAACCATCCTGTCCCCTTCCTGAGGAGGGATGAGGCCTGCCTGCCAGTGCTATCGAAAGACAGCTTCTTTCCAAGGCGTGGTCCTTGGGCCAGCATCATCCAGGAACTTGCTAGAAATGCAAACTATTATGCTCCACTCCAGCCCTACTGAGAACTTGGGCGAAACAATGTGTGTTTCTACAGGCCCTCACCCTCATAGACCTTGGGAGAGCAGGCACTACCCAGGACACCTGCATTTCAATGATGGTCAAGGCCGAGAGACCTGCTATGGCATTTGCATCAGGGCCAGACCCTAGTCTGGTGATTATGGAATTAGAGATTCATGTCAAATACTATTTGCAGGGTGGTCAACAAGCCCCCTATTATCTGCAATGCTGGGCGGTCAACAAGCCCCCTATTATCTGCAATGCTTACTTTTTCTTTCCTAAACACAAAATGCTAGTTAGTCCCCACAAGATGGGAAGGCTGAGTCCCCTTGGTGGGAATGGTGGATTGTCTGCTCAGAGGCCAGATCAGGGTGAGGGAAATGAGACCAGCACTAGTCCTGAGGCACCTGTGGACTGGGAATGTGCTCTCAGGAGCATGAGTGAAGGCACGGGGGCCACAAGTGGGTCTTCCTGTTCCAGGAACTACGGCTCCCTGTCACAGCGAAGTCATGTCCCTGAACCAAAAGCTTCTAAGCAGGCAGCCGCCAATTGGGTCTCTCATACCACATCTGGTGAAGCCTGGCACCAGCTCACACCCAGGAGCATCCAATCTTTGTCATTTCCCCGGAAGCAGATATTTCTGAGCCTTAAAGAAGCAGAGCCCTTCTCGAGGCACTGTCAGGGGCACACAGGGACTAGCACCAGTGTCTCCGAGTCTCAGCTCAGTGTCCTTTTGCCACCCCAAGCCGCCAATCTGTAACTGGCGAGTTTGTGAATCTAGGTGACGAAACATTAACTGCAATTCCCTTTAACTGGAGCAAGTCAAATACAGTTTTGTTTTGTTTAAAGCACGCAGTCTGCTTAGGAGAAGTGTAGTAAATGTCTATACAATGAAACGGAACTCACAGAGCTCACACAGAAAAGCCCCACTAAAGAAGGAAAGCTGCATGGTACCAAACTCCGTTCTAGCTGGGAGTTCTCCGTTCACAGCTACAAGCATGTTTGTTACAACCAGGCAAGCTGTTATGTGTAGCTGACACTCAGACGCTGTTTCTACATTCCTGCCTCATCACTGGGAGCTTTCCCCGCCCAAGGAGAGAACACTCTCATGTGTTTAGTCACAAGGGCTTCTAGTGTATTTATGACTTAACAGAAATTTCTTTCCAGTCACAAAGATGCAGAAGTCTGCTGACCCATCAAAGGTCTGGAGAGACAAGCTCAGGGACAAGGAAATGACTTACTAGTCAGGCAGTGGCCTTCTCTTCAAACCAAATGCTCACGGCAGCTGCAATCACTGCTGCCTTTCTATCTAAAGAGTCGGTAGAAACAAGGAATTGAGGCTCAGAAAGATCTCAGTTCTGAGGCCACTCAGCCACCAGCCCCGTGAACTTGGCAAATCACTTCCCCTGCCCTGGGCCTCAGTGTCCTGTGGGACAGGGGAGGCGGCATCACCTCCCCACAGGCCTTTGCGAGGGTGAGAGCAGGACCCCAAAACGACCCTCAAAGGCTATGAAGAACTGCCCTCCAGCTAGCAGGGGCTGGGTACTTCTTTGGGCCTTGGTTCCCTCATCTTAACGAGCCCCGGGCCACTGTTCTGGGAGGCCACTGTGAACCTGAGTGCAGAGACCAGCCTCGGTGGGTGCCCGGGCCTGGCCTCTGCAGACAGCTCATACTCCTTTGGGGAGGACAGAAATGCTCTGGGCTCTGTGTGAGGGGTGTCCTGTCGGGAGCAGCAGAGGAGGGAGCGGAGGGGAAGAGGAGAGGCTTCTGTGAGAGGCTTTGTCAGGGAGGCCTGAGAACAACGCAGGTCCCTCCCAGAGCCCCCTGGAGCTTGCGGGGTGAGCTCAGCCATAGACACTGAACAGAAGCGATCAGTCGTCTCCCCACCACTTTCTAGGTCATTTTTCCAATGGGGTTTTGCACATAAATGGCTGGCTTTTGATTCCCCTCCCTGTGAGCCCAGGCTGCTCCTTGGTTCCCACCCAGGCTCTGTCCAGGCCCCAGAGAGCCCTCATTTATTATCCCCCCCCCCCCCGGGAGGCGGGGTGAAAGGAAAGCCATCCCCCAGACACACTCCCGTGCTGCTGGGAGGAGTGGGTTGGCTCCCAGTCCCTGCTGCTGCTTACCCACCCCTGGGAGGCCGGCGCGGAAAGGGCCCTGCTTGGTGCAGTGCCCGCCTTTTTACCATGGCCGCCTCTGTGGGAAATACTCTGAAGGGATTTGGGAGGACATGGGGCGTCCAACAAATGTTTCAAAGTAGATGCTTCCCTTTCAGTGAACATAGGCTTTGTAACCCCTCATATACAGATTGGAGTCTGAATATGCTTAGATCTCCGAATGGAAGGGTTTCTAAAGAAAAACTCCAGAAATACCCGAATTCAGATGTAAAAAAAAAATGTGTGAGAATCAAGAACAAAGCCCGTGAAAGCAGAGGGAGGGAATAACCTTTCCTTTCCAGCGGCTTTCCCCACTAGACTGTCGTGATCCGCGCAGCACTATTTGATGCAAATGTCTCTCAGAAAAGAGCCAGTAGATAATAGATAAAGAGATTATCTGTGACATTATGAAAAATGAAAGTTTAAAAACGGCTACAAGTCCCATAAAAATCCCGAAACTTTATTCAGTCTCATTGAACGGCAATAGCAGAACTGTGTTTCATCCAGCCCCTGGGGGCTCTGCCTCTTCCGCCATTGTTCTAGCGCCTTCCACCAGCTCATCAGTTTCCTAAAACCTTTCCTGCTGGTTTCTCTTTGTGGGAAGCATAAGGTCACAGCCCTGTTCCTTCTTCCCGACTGGACTCTGATGCTAGAAATTCGAGCACTGAAGCTGCCCCCCACCCCGCCCCGCCCCCACTAACCCACGAGCGGCACACTCGATTTAACCAATGAATTACAGATTCGAGGCATGGGTTTCCAGGGCAGGAAGGAGTCTGATTTTTGTCCAGGTCTCTCTTGATTGGCTCAGCATGGAAGGCTTTCATTGACTGGGCCAGTCCTGCTGGGAACACCTCAGCTGGCACCACACTGACTCCTTTCCTTGCTGGAGAGGGGAGCTGAGCCCCTAAAGAGAGATTTCCCATCTCCCGGAGTTCTGGTGGGCTCACTGCATCTCATTCTTTCTCAACAGAGCGTCGCGAGCATAACCCTCGACTCCAGGGAACATTTGGTTCAGCTGACCAGCCATCTCTGACCTCAGAGCAAGCAGGCTGTGGTGTGCAACAACCCACGAAACCACACCTTCGCCATCCACTCAGGAGGCAGCACCCTGCGGAGGTTCAGTGCGGAGTCCTGGAGTGGGACGAACTGGTTCCAGCTCCGTCGCCTGTTGGCTGGGTGACTTTGAGCAAGTTTCAGTGTCTGAATTTTTCCATTTGTAAGACTGGAAGATTATCAGACTGAACAGAAAGTTGCTGATATTTGTT